TTTAGCATGGTGAAACTCTAATCTTAAAGCTCCCCGGCAGTCATTACAATCCCGCTCTCGCCTGAGACCATCACCGGTACTCGGTTGCACTTGACAGTAGTCTTAGCGGTTGGTCGACGGAGATAGCGTGGCGAAATTTCGTTGCAATACATTGCAAGACAACTGTAGACAATGTAAATCGTAGAACAAAAAAATTTGATTTTATATAAAAAAATAATTGGTAATATAACAAATATATTCAATTATAAGCATCACGACATAAGAAATATACTGCATACAAATACTGGGGTTCTTAAAGGCGGTGGCCATGTTCCGACAGCTTCAGTATCGCCGTCTTTTATAATACGATGTGCAACTCTGTCGTCACTTACGGCCACGTCATTTCTACTCCCTTTTTTACTGCGTCTCTCACAGCCCAAAGAATTCTTGTACCTGCGCAAGCTTCCTATACAGATAAAAAACAAGCGTACTTCCTGGAACGTCATCGTAAACATAGGAGTATGACCATCTTCTTTTACACCGGCACAAATTGTCTTAATTGGAAGCCCCGGTAGGTGCTTGGGCCCAGCGATTACCGCCCTCGTTTGGAGAGTCATGTTATTATTTCACAAACAAGTTGACAACTAAATAAAATATTTAAAAAAATATTTTATAATTTTTTTTTTTTTTTTTTTTTCTTCTTTGGGCCAGTTCAAATGGTGAGGTGCAGAGAGGTGGAGGGCCGGTCAAAGGGGCGTGGCGGGCCGTATGCGGCCCGCGGGCCGTAGTCTGGGGAACCATAGTGTAAACCATGCACAGGTGGTAATTGTCTGTGGTGAACCTCTGGCATGGTATTCCATGGTATCTGATACCTTGCACAACTCCCAAGAGCACAGTGGTGTAAATAGCCTACTGCTTCTATCCATTTATCCTATTAGGTGAAATTCAGCAGTAATAAGATCTTGATCAAGGCAGAATGCCAACAGTTCGCCTTGTTTGCTCACTGTTGAGGAAAATAAGCTCAAAGCCATTCCAGCAGTCGGGTTGGCACCTTTGTGTGAGAGTAGGAGTATATATTTCCCTCACAGTCTCTGAAGAATTCAGTAAATGCAAAGTCATCTTTTCCTATATTCATACTTATTATTTCTTTGTATATACCACAGTTGTATTCACATTGTAAAAGACCACACCGTGAACAGTTTAAGCTACTGTTTGATGTGAGCAAACAGAGACATAGTGATATGAAATATTAATAGTCACGCCTAGTTTTGGCTGAATTTAGTGCTTTCCAATTTTCTTGTTTGTTCCCCCTCTCTATGTCTCTATCTTATGTGTTTCTCAGAAGAAGCTGCTCTGAAAGCTAAAATATGTTGTATATGCATGGGCAATTTCAAAAAGCTGTTAATAGGTTACAATAGCCTCTCATTCATTCATGTGGAATACATTTAGTTTGTAATACAGAAACACAGACCTTCTAAACGTATTAATATTTTTTTTTCAACTCTTGATATCAGTTTTGTCATGCAAGCTGCTGCAGTTAGCAGTTAGCATCAGCTTACTTCTAATGACATAATAGACTTTTCTTATTGTAAGTATTTTAGG